TTTATGCTAAGCAGATGTGGTTTAAGCTCTTTGAGATCATGCGGGCAATGTAACAGAACAGAGTATCCATACCTGACAAGACAGATTCAGCAGGAAGTCTGTATAAGAGTCAAAACACAAGGAAAAGACTGACGTCTTATCTAAGAAGTTGAGTTTTACATGCACATCTGTTTGACTGAACTGGCCTATTTGTATGAGTCTCAACAAACACCCCTCCCTGGTTTTTGCTGGTGCCTTAAATATAGCTGGGCTACATTTGTGACCATAACAGCTGAAAGATGTTTCTGGGACCTCTCCACGGGTGATCCTCATCCGCATGGTGGAACTTTGTGTCACCTGATGTTTATCACTTGTGTGATGTCCTGGTGGGGTACAACAAGCAAAATACACCCCCAATTAGTCTCCTTTTTTACACAACATGCTTAAGGAGGCAGTGGGTCTATTCTTTTCACCCAAATTTGGGACCTGGGTGCAGCGATATCAATTTTCAATTCATTTATTCAAATAGTTCCAACAGACAACCAGCAATGATACACATGATAATGTTGGATTGTTTTATAATTCCATTTGCTCTTCAGTCATTTCACTAGCAAGGTAAACCAATAAGCAGATCAACATGACCAATCATTAGTGAGATTTGTATGACTTACTACAATCATTATATGGGGGGGGGGGGGGGGGGTGTGAAAATCAAGCTAATTTAGAGATTTTAACAGGGTATGAAATTTGACTATGAAGCTCATGTGGGGGGGGGGGGGGGGGGGGGGAATACACACATACACAACAAAAAGTTTCAACTGAAGTTTTGCTGATAAAGTAAGTAGTTAAGTTTTACCCCACCAGGACATCACACAAGCGATAAACACCCGGTGACACAAAGTGCCATCATGTGATGAGGATCACCCGTGGAGAGGTCCAGGAAACCCTGTTCAACCGTAAGGTTATATTAGGGCCCCCAGCAACAGCCAGGGTGGGACTTCAAAATAAACAAAAATTTGCATTCCACAAGGGAACGACTTTAACACCACTGCTGATAAAGACTTTGGTTGAGATGTTCACTTCTATCTGTGTGTGTGTGTGTGTGTGTGTGTGTGTGTGAGTGTGTCTCTCTTAGTAGAACTTTCTAATTATATTCTGTGGTTTTTGTTTCTTTGTTTGTTATGGTTTTGCTATAAAATAATCAGATCTGGCCAACCTCTTTCTCCAATTCAATGATGACTAAACTATAATCTTCTGAACAAAATGGCTCCTTTCCTGTTCTACCTCATTACTCGGCAATGTCAAAGAAGTTGTGTCCCTTGACAAGAAGAGCCATGTAGTTTTTAAACAAAGACCACACTCAGAGAAACACATTTGCTGCTGTTTGTGGTCGGAGGTAGATGTACAGTTTCATTCTACACATTTGCTGCTGTTTGTGGTCGGAGGTAGATGTACAGTTTCATTCTACACATTTGTGTAAAGCATCTCTCTGACATCATACATGTCTTGTTATGGTACATAAAGCTACAGCACTCACACTAAGATGTTCGTGGAAGTGAAAGTGTAAAACAAATAATGAAATAACAGACAACATAAGGAAGTACCCTGACAAGTGAAGAGAGGGTCAACTATCCTCAATGTTATCACTTATTAGTGGTAAGAACTCTTGTGCCTCAGGATGTAGGGCGGCATGACTAGTACAGCTGCCACAACCTCTACAGGCTCCCAACTGAAGCAGTCACCATGGCTTCAAACCCGGGTTTCCTACATGACAGCTCAGCATTCTACCACCAGGCCAGATGAAAAAGGAGACCATTCACAAATAATGATATTTTTCAGAGAATATGTCAGACAGATTAAAATGAACACATCTGCTGAATGTAAGTGAACGTGCAAAAACGGATTGGCATAACACTGAGAAGAGAGATTACTTGTAAAGCATGACAAGAGAAAGATGGTTTACACAGGGAGATCACTCATAAAGTGATGAGTGGGGATAAGACTAAAAAAAAAAAACTGCAGAAAATACACAGGAAAATAAAACTGCAAATTATTGTAGAACAGGGTCATTTGCTGAACAGTTGATATTGAAACCACAGACACGATTTTACTAACTACACAAATTTAGCTGATTGTTAAACATACAGTGGATATTCAAGAATACATCAAGTAAACTGCATTTGTCAGCTCTTGTTTTAAAGTATCTACAAAAATCCCTCCCCCCCCCCCCACTACCTCCCCCAGGCCCCCTCCCCCCCCCCCCCCCCCACCCCCCAAAAAAGCTCCTTTGAACCAGAGTAGCATCACAAAGACCAGGTATTCAGCTGACTTACTAGACATCTCGTTTCCAGATTAAGTACAGGAAACAGCAGGTACCCAACTGTATCAACAATAAGCAGTCAGGTAAACAATTCTTACATTCTAAAGCAGAACAGGAAAATCTATGAACACCTAGTACAATAATAATTCTGTAATGCTGTGTCTACAACCTTCATCAACTGGTGCCTGCACAGAATAAGAGAAGTTAAATGGCATAACAGAATCACTAATGTGGGGCTTCGGGAGAAACTAATCACATTTCAGTGGATCAAGAGGTGAGGAACAGAAGCTGGTACTGGACAGGCAAGAACACTTGATAACATCTAAGTGTTGGGTCACCACTTGCTGTTGACTGTCTAATCAGTTACCTCATCCTCTGCTGCTCAGATGCAATGGAGCTGATGTTTGCAAGTTTGAGGCTTGTCCAGACAAATCTTAAGATAGTGAAATAATGGAACTGATGTTTGCAAGTTTGAGGCTTGTTCAAACTCTAAGGTAGTATATGAGACAATCTTAAGAAAGTGAAACGATGGAACTTATGATTGCAACTGAGGCTTGTCCAAACTCTTAGGTAGTTAATGAGACAAATCTAAAGATAGTGAAACAATGGAACTGATGATTGCAAGTTTAAGGCTTGTCCAAACTCCAAGGTAGTCAATGAGACCAATCTTGAGATAGTAAAAAGAGGCGACAACACTAACAAGGTGTCTCATAACTAAAGGTTTCCCCTGGCTTTGGGCTCAATATGCTGCAATAAGATTAATTGAAAACACTCACATTTCAAAAAGTGGTACTGAAGAATTAAACATGAAAACATTAGATAATATAATCCTAAAATAATACCAACATGTCGGATAATTCAGGATGAGCCAAATTTCAGCACTGAAATATATCAACTACAAAACGCAATAATCAAGTTTAAAAAAGGAAACATAAAATCATAAATGTTATCATGGCATTGTAACATCATAAAGTTACACATAAAACAAATCATACAACCAGTTACACACATATAACAATCATAATTGCACATGACTATTCTACAATCCTAAAATATTCCTCATACAATCACAAACTGACACTTGACCCTCCTACAATCCCAAAATGACACTTGACCATACTACAATCCTAAACTAATACTTGATCATATTACAATCCCAACTGACATTTAAACATCCTATAAGCCCAATTAGACATTTGACCATCCTACAATCTCAAACTGACACCTGACCATCTTACAATCCCAAACTGACACCTGACCATCTTACAATCCCAAATTGACACTTGACCATACTACAATCCCAAACTGACACCTGACCATCTTACAATCCCAAATTGACACTTGACCATACTACAATCCTAAACTGACACTTGACCATCTTACAATCCCAAATTGACACTTGACCATACTACAATCCTAAACTGACACTTGACCATCTTACAATCCCAAATTGACACTTGACCATACTACAATCCTAAACTGACACTTGACCATCTTAAAATTCCAATAAGACATTCGACCACACTACAATCCCAAAATGATACTTTACCAATCCCAATTAGACATTTGACCATGCTACAATCTCAAACTGACACTTGACCCTCCTACATTCCCAAACTGGAACTACAATAGGAAAGTAACACAATGACACAAACCAAAGAGTAGAACACAGAAATAATCAAATGAAACATCTGAAATATATAACGAAAAATTTTTACTCAAAACAATCACACAGTGACGCAAGATCACCACACAATCACACAGTGACGCAAGATCACCACACAATCACACAGTGACGCAAGATCACCACACAATCACACAGTGACGCAAGATCACCACACAATCACACAGTGACGCAATATCACCACACAATCACACAGTGACGCAAGATCACCACACAATCACACAGTGACGCAAGATCACCACACAATCACAAATAGCACCAGAGAATCAGACCATTATAAAACAGTACAATCATAATGTGACAAACACAGAATAATAAAATAACACAACCACACAACCAAATGAAATAATAATAAAGACATATTTGCTATTTTCTTCAGTGTGGGTTCTGGGGCCGCTGGAAGGAGGGAGGGGGGGGGGGTGTGTGTGTGTGTGTGTGCTGAACCCCCCCCCCCCCCCCCCCAAAAAAAAAATTTGCTCTATACAAGCATGTCTTAAAAGGTGATTAATAAGGGTCTGCTGAAGTCGGGTATGTTAGGCTGAAAGGTGTGGGTGCTGCAGACTAGCTGAAACTACAAGATAATGCGCCAACAGCACCTCTAAGTGTGAACACGGAAGGAGAAGAAGTCATCGTAAAGTTATGCGATCATAATTAACACACGTAAAAGAGAAGGACCCTTTTACCTGCCTTCAGGCACACTGGGCAAATAGGGTTAGACCTGTATTTGTACAGACAAATCGGCACTGGGTGGGTGATGTGGTTAATATCACGCCTAAGCCTTTACTTCCCAGGACTGTGCCTGGTATTCATTAAAGGCTGGCTCGACCTGCTGGCAGTCAAAGTCACCTTAAAAAAAAACCGTCCGGCTCCATCAGAATCTGAACCCACAACCTTCCAATCCACAAGCGAGCATCTACCTGCTACACCACAGCGGTTCCTGATTAACACACGTACAATCATAAAATAACCACACAAAAAAGTTCACACAAATCATAATAATAACAAACCAATTTGCTGCTAATTGTTAACCTCTGACATATATGCATCTAGCTCGGCGTCCAGGTGGGATCTGCTCTGGGTCATGTACTCGTCCAGCTGACTGTCCAACTCCTGGACAGTAACATTGCTGTTGTTACTGCCCCCTCTGCCAGTGGTCCCCCTGCCCCGTGGTTGACCTCTTCCCCCTCGTCTCATGCCACGCCTGTTTCCTCTTGCCACCTCCTCTTCCTCGCCTGATAAATGTGTTTTGCCCAGCGAACCTTTATTTAAAAAAAAAAAATTAAACTGAATCAGTGCTGACAGGGGCCATAAGAAAAGCAAAGAATAGTAACAAGATTACCTTTCATGCATGTCCTAATAGGAAACCAGCAAGGCCATCCTGTATCTTCTTCACGTCCACTGGTAAGTAAATTGGTGGAAAGTTCTGTTTGCCCACTTCTGTACTTTAATCTTATTCCTTAACTTGAGTTTTGCATGCACGTCTTTTTTTTAAACAGATATGGCTAATTTCTATGCAGACTGTTGATTCCTTACCTCTCAGGCAGATGGGCTCAGACTTCAAAGGATAAACCCTCATTTAGCCAGCTTTTACAACACTGTTTTTAGGGGGACAGCGGTTCTATCCCCGCCCCTAGCTGCGACACAACAGTAGCTCCTCACATATAAGATACAATTCTGGTGGTATAAAGGCGCTAAGTGACAATAGGCTATCCTGTGTGTTACCACTTTCTTTAGGAAAATCAAACATGAGCAGTATCACACCTTACCAGGTACACTATTACAAGCAACAAAGGGTAAAGTTGTCCAGGATGAAGTATCTCATAAATCATTCTAGTTGCAACAGCCAACCACAAACGAATTTAAAAAAGGAAGATTACAACCAACTTGGCCGGCGTGATAATGACTATTTCACCCATCTTGTGTCAACTGGTCTATAAAAAATAGATTTTGCCCTATATGCCTAAAGGCGTAGAAAAGGGACCTTTACTTACAAGCGACTAAAGATAATTATATATTTAACTTCTTCAATACATCTCTCATCTGCTGTTATCAAGATTCTCAAACACCAATCCCTGTAAATCAAAGCAACTGACTAAATGGTAATCCAGCTGGAACTGATCTATTCAACGTGCAAACTGGCATGCACATGCTCACAAGATGTGCATACAGAGGACCAGGCAATGTTACCAAGGGAGGTTTTATTAGTGCCGCTTCAGTCCCGATGCATTCACACTCTGACCCAGATTTCATCATTATCTTTATATTTCTTCTATGAATGTTTAAAGATCAATTATTAGCCTGTCAATGAGAGAGCCTCTGGTCCTAATGAGCAAAGAATAACAGAGACGAAATGTCTTAGAACAGCTGCCTGAGCTACAAAGGGAAACAAAATAAAAAAATAGAGAAATTAAAGGATGTCTATGACTGACCAGTCACACATTCACTAAAAAGCAACAAGTTAAATGTTACAGCCATCTTATGAGAATGTATGTTTGGGGGGGGGGGGGGGGGGGGGGGGGGGGAGGGTGGGGGGGGGGGGGGGGGGGGGGGGAGGCTACAAATGAGAATCCAAATGAAACAATACAGTAAGCAGACATCAAATGAAAACAACTCAAAATATGGGGCAATAGCATCAAAAACAGTCCACGGTATATGAAGATTAATTCACACACAGCACAAAAAAAGATCCTTACATCTCTCCCTACAGATGGCTACATAGCTTGAGGAAGAGGAGGAGGAGAAGAAAGTGGAGAAGTAGAAGAACTGGCAAAATGCATGCTTTCAGTCCCATAGACACACAGGCCCCAAGCAATGTTAGCAACACAAACAATGACCCATGCTTTTCATGGCCCTGACCTGTCTGTGTAACCTCGACCCCTTCCTCCACGATTCCCACCTTCATCACCTCCACGATTCTCATCCATTCTGAAAATTCATGTTCACGTTTGCAAGACATTTTTCAAAGACACTATGACAAAATAAAAAAGATTTGGTTTGGTTCAGACAGATGTTCACCATCAAAAATGAACAAATAAAAAGATTTGGTTTGGTTCAGACAGATGTTCACCATCAAAATGAGCAAATAAAAAGATTTGGTTTGGTTCAGACAGATGTTCACCATCAAAATGAACAAATAAAAAGATTTTGTTTGGTTCAGACAGATGTTCACCAAAAAATGAACAAATAAAAAGATTTGGTTTGGTTTAGACAAATGTTCACCAAAAAATGAACAAATAAAAGGATTTGGTTTGGTTCAAATAGATGTTCACCAAAAAATGAACAAATAAAAAGATGGTTTGGTTCAGACAGATGTTCACCATCAAAATGAACAAATAAAAAAATTTGGTTTGGTTCAGACAGATGTTCACCAAAAAATGAACAAATAAAAAGATTTGGTTTGGTTCAGAAAGATGTTCACCATCAAAATGAACAAATAAAAAGATTTGGTTTGGTTCAGACAGATGTTCAGCATCAAAATGAACAAATAAAAAGATTTGGTTTGGTTCAGACAGATGTTCACCAAAAAATGAACAAATAAAAAGATTTGGTTTGGTTCAGACAAATGTTCACCAAAAAATGAACAAATAAAAAGATTTGGTTTGGTTCAGACAAATGTTCACCAAAAAATGAACAAATAAAAAGATTTGGTTTGGTTCAAATAGATGTTCACCATCAAAATTAACAAATAAAAAGATGTGGTTTGGTTCAAATAGATGTTCACCATCAAAATTAACAAATAAAAAGATGTGGTTTGGTTCAAATAGATGTTCACCATCAAAATTAACAAATAAAAAGATGGTTTGGTTCAGACAGATGTTCACCATCAAAATGAACAAATAAAAAAATTTGGTTTGGTTCAGACAGATGTTCACCAAAAAATGAACCAAAAAAAAAGATTTGGTTTGGTTCAGACAGATGTTCACCATCAAAATGAACAAATAGGCGTCAGCGTCGCATTCGGCCCGCAGTCCTGCCATAGAATGTTAGTATACTTCTTTCTAATCTATGGTATACAGAGAATTGTCTGTAAGATCTAAGTTCAAAAGTGCTGATTTTCTTCTCAAATGATCACAAAATGGTCCCTTGCACACATCCAAACATGCCAGAGGAAATATGTGTGTGCTACTAAGTTTTAACTTGACTTGAATTGCTAGTGCTGTGCCACAGATTGTGTAGGCTGATTAGTGATTAGTGAGAGCTATGGTCACAGCACTCTAGACAGACCCTAGTTGCTCCAATCTCCTCAAGTGTTCAATAACTGATCACGCCATTTCTGTGTTAGTTGCTCAGAAGTTTTGGGCTCTTAGCAAAATATTAATGTCTGGCTGCTCCAGATTACACTCCCCAATTAGAATCCCATCGCCACCAACCTATACTGATCCCATCGCCACCAACCTATACTGATTCCATCGCCACCAACCTATACTGATTCCATCGCCACCAACCTATACTGATTCCATCGCCACCAACCTATACTGATTCCATCGCCACCAACCTATACTGATTCCATCGCCACCAACCTATACTGATTCCATCGCCACCAACCTATACTGATTCCATCGCCACCAACCTATACTGATTCCATCGCCCACCAACCTCTATACTGATTCCATCGCCACCCAAACCTATACTGATTCCACCGCCACCCAACCTATACTGATTCCATCGCCACCAACCTATACTGATTCCATCGCCACCACCTATACTGATCCATCGCCACCAACCTCTACTGATTCCATCGCCACCAACCTATACTGATCCCATCGCCACCAACCTTTACTGATTCCATCGCCACCAACCTATACTGATCCCATCGCCACCAACCTCTACTGATTCCATCGCCACCAACCTATACTGATCCCATCGCCACCAACCTTTACTGATTCCATCGCCACCAACCTATACTGATTCCATCGCCACCAACCTATACTGATTCCATCGCCACCAACCTATACTGATTCCATCGCCACCAACCTTTACTGATCCCATCGCCACCAACCTATACTGATCCCATCGCCACCAACCTATACTGATCCCATCGCCACCAACCTATACTGATTCCTGCTTGCTGTCATAATTTTTTTCTTCTTTTTTTGTTAACAGGCTCTTATAAGCTCTGATGGAAAGTCCTGGTTGTTCATCCATCTGGTCTTGGACTTTGTGTTAGGGCCTGAGTTCTGCGTGTAAATCCATTTTACTGGCTTATTTGTGTACAGCTAGTTGTTTCTTGCCGCTCCAGCAGACGTACTCCGACTCTGAAGAAGTCCCCAATTAGTCAACTCCTGCGACATGCTTGTTGGGGAGGCCGTGTATCTATCCTTGTTTCCCTTCAATGGGGCCCCCGGAACCCAAACGGGGAGTTGTCATAATCATCTTTACAATAAGCATGGCACTGATGACATCATTGCCCAGCACCGAGCCAGTCACAGTGTCCACCAGCTGAATGCTGTTCAACCTCTAGAATTACTACCAGGTTGAACTCACCTGTTGAAAGTGCCTCGCCCACGTCCTCTGAAGACTCCTCTGCCACCACGGCCCCGTCCTGAGAAAACCAGAAGCAAAACTTGTTAGCAAACCAGAACCACAGGTAAGTACATAAGCAGATTCAAGTACCCACATTTTTAAAAAAATGTCGCGGAGATGTCAACTTATTTCACATATACTAATTTATAGATTTAGTACATAAGGTAGCTAACTGTTTCTACTTTTCGTCAATAGTAAATTATGAAGCCGAAGCTATTGTGACGATACGCTCGGTGACTTCAGAATGTCTTTCCTCAACCTACTTTTATTTCTTTGTATTTTGAAAGTATACAGAAAAATAGGGATTTGGATACATCCTTAATCTAAGTAAGACGACCAGATCAAACATTTAATTCTCCTGGACTGTTGGTCATATCAAACACTAAAACTTTTCCCCAAATGTTAAGTGTTAACGTACAGAGATAAGACTGGCAAAGCTTAGACTTACTGTCTGCAGATTTGCACACCATCTGTTGGTGTCAGATATTTATCTCCTAGCCAGACCATTTAGGAGCAGATAACACAGGCTAATTGTGTTTATCTCCCCCTGAGGTTACCGAACTCGAGGGCAGGTCCGACGGTCACTATTGACATAGTAAGCCGAGAGTTGCTAGCAAACAACTTGACAGGTGAAGTAGACTGGAGGTGTGACTTGTCCTTTTTGCTTGGGTCAGATGAATTGACCAGGAGATCCTAGCGTGGGAATTCAAACAATTGTTGTACAGTCACTGACTGACAGTGAATATACACCCACAGGGAGGAGCTGTGACATCCTTGAATGAGAATAGTTTTAGGCGTAATGTAGGAGGAGCTTAATAAAAGTTATAAAGGGGTGAACTCTAGGTCTGGTAAATGAGACTGTGCAGCACATGCCATCTGTTGGGCTTAACCTAAGCTTGAGACAGAACTTTTGGCATTGTGGTTTCATTTTCCAGGTAAGAACGAAATTAGTTTCAAAACCTTTATTTTATTTATGATAGAGATCTAACTGTCTTTTTGCTCAAGTGTGTGTCTTCATCACTTTGTAATACTCCTAGGCGGACATTTCTCCGTTCTGTCCAAAAGTTGTTATTTTCCAATATATAATTTCATTATCAACATCACCTCAACTCTACTAGCCTAAACAAGTTCATTTTAATTTCGATTTTTTCAAATAAATCATGTTTGATGTTGTTACAAAATAGTTGAGTAAATTGTGTACTTAGGTTCAAGTGTCTTTGGGCATATTAGTTTACTTCAGCTAACAAATATTTAAATCACTTGATGGGGGCTTTCAAGTAATGCCAGGAGAGGAGAACAGTCGGAGGGGTTAACTGAGTATCCTGATATTATCTCAGTGGGTTCATCTTGATCTCTATCTATCCCTTCACCTACTCCTGTGGATACAAGTACAGCAACTTTCATTTCATGGAACGAGCCACTCGCTGTTTTCTTGGCTATCCAGGACTGTCTAGGATAAACATAGCTTAGATATTAGTCCAGTTTCTCACGTGGGTGGGCATTGTTAAGGATCAAACCCACACCTCACCATATCAGTGTATTTACCCACGTGGGCGCGCGACAGCTATGAACAAGGGGATCTTCCAAGAAAAGATGTATGATTAGATATCTGGAGTAAGATTTCATAGCAGTGACACAGATGTCAATTTCAGTGCATTCTCAGCCCTGTAATAAGTAATCAATGTTGAGCATAATACAATCTAATTATTTGTCATTTAATTCCTGTTTTCTGTTTGCATTTATATTTTTATCTCCTTTTCCCATTCCTTCATTCATGTTTTGTGCAGCAATAGCTATCCCTGTTAATAGTTTTCTGTTCTATGTGAACACCTTATACACATGAGGTAGGTTATGAGTTTTGCCGTTCTATTCGTTGACAAAGAATATGATCGAAATGTTTGGCTACATATGTGTGCATCTTTTCATTTTCCTTCAATGAGCTTCGTAATCACAGTCTGCTGTGGTAATTTACTTTTTCGATACCTGCAGCAGGAAGTGACCTGGGGATATGGCTAACATTCTCCAGTTAGAGGAAAGGCAAGATAAACATAGGATCAAACCGCTACTGGCTCCGTCGGCAACGCAACTCTTTGCTGGCTGCTGAAAATGAGGAAGAAGCATACAGGGGAATATTCTGACTGCAGTTTTGTTGATTATTAACCAAACTGTGTGTCATAATATCAGCCCGACTCCAGTAACCCTCTATTTTCACCATTCCTACAGAAAGAAGTTAGCTCCCCAATCCTTTTGGACTGATTCAAACCCAGCCCCTGGTCAACAGATACTACTTCACCGTGTGGGTTCTGGGACCCCATTGTGTTTTCCACAAAATAAAGAAAAAACAAGAAAAGACCCGCTGCCCCCCAACAAGCCTGTCATAAGAGACGACCTTTTAGTGATGTTTTCGTTAAAGTTGGAGTGTATCTGCCCGAGAGGCAAGGAACCAGCAGTCTGCATCACCCCCCCCCCCCCCCCCAAAAAAAAAACAGATCTGTAAATTGAATATGCAAGCAAAACTCAAGTTATGGAACAAGACTAAAGTTCATAAGTGGATGAACAACCAGAACTTAACACTGGAATTTACAGCCAGTGAATGCAAAGAAGAAGATACTGCTTAACACTAGCTTTTCAGTATTAGCTCAGACACACAGACCAGAGCTATTCCACTAAGTTTACTTTGGGGACCAACATTTTGAAAATGAGGATCGTCAGGGTCCAGAGGCCCCAGACCTACCACAGAAAGATCATTAATACAATAAAACTGGCAATGATCCCCGGGCCACTTGCTTAGGCATCTGCAGGCCAGATCTAGTCCATGGGCCACCAGCTGAATAGTCCTGACATAGACCAAATCAAACTGTAGATGACCTACCCTCAACCAGAATATTGTTAGTATATGTTATTTGTTATTACTTGCTATCCTGCCATTTTTCTGGTGTTTCTTTCCAGCCATCACCGATCTTGACATGATCCAATGGCAAACTAATGGTGACCTCTGAGTGCAAGAGAGAGAGAGAGAGAGAGAGAGAGAGAGAGAGAGAGAGAGAGAGAGAGAGAGAGAGAGAGAGAGAGAGAGAGAAATCCTTCAGCCATTCAATGCATACACCAAATTACTCACTGGGTGTGAATCCTCCTCTTTCTTGAGTTTTGTTGGCCACCCATTGGTTGTCTCCGGCTCCATTCTGGACAGGTCTTATACCTCCTCGTCCACGACCTCTACCTCTGCCCCTCAATGGCTGGCCTCGAGGCATGGAAAGTCTGTTCTTGATGTTACCTCTTCCGAGCCTCTGCTGCAGGTTTTTCTATAGAGAAGATGTCATTTAAATTAAAAATGTAAAATATCCACGAGAGCCTGCTAAAAATTCTGGTTCAATATGGCGCACAGACAGGCCAACTGTTTTTAAGTCATGGTAAGTTATTTGCTTTCTGGGATATGGTTAGCTGTTGTATTTTTCCCATATTTAGACTGAAGGTATAGAGTTCCGCCACCCACCCAGCCACTGAACTCAGCTAATGGTGATTCAATGAGCTGTAGGTTTCATTTTAAGTGTTTTTCAACTGTGCCCAACATGGTTTATCCTGTGAACTGCAGATTTAGAAAATGGCAAATTGCCTGCTGCCACAATACTGGTGATACCTTATGCAATTAAATGCATGTGCCACTGCTATTTGTTGTAACTGCTGCTTACATTAATGATGAACTGCAGTTATAGTGGGAGTTTGTTTGAGTTGGCAATGTCGGTCAGCTTATGGATTGAGTACATGTATGCTGTTGGCTTTGCCAGACTTCAGTCTGTTTCAATTTCTTTTTTTACATGCGATTGACATTCTTTGTGGATTTCGCTGGCACAGGAACGGAGTGACTACAGGGTGACCCGTTTGCTGCGAAGTTGGAACTGTGATTTGCTAGTTACCTACATACATTTTCTTTTAACCAACAAACTGTGAACATTATACAATGCAGACAGCAATATGAATAAAGATGAAGCAATCAAATACATACTTATGTGGCATATAGACAAAGATGAGAAAACTGTGCATATACTTATGTAGCAATGTAGATACAGATGGAACAGATACAGATAAAAAAGAATACGAAAGACAACAGTTTCACAGCAGTCGAAAATTTGTGGAAGTGAAAGTCACTAAAAAGCTAAAGGCAAACGTAGAATATTTAGATCTCTTACGTCAAAATGGTACTTTCTTAAAAGCTATTTAAATCCTATTTTGATTTATGGAAGTGAATCATGGACAGCTGGTAAATTAGTGAAAAATTTGGAAGCTGCAGAGATGTTGTTTATAGACGAATGATGAGAATACACTGGATGTATAAAAAGTGTAGTGAAGATGTCTTGAAAGAAACTGATTCCTGAAGAGAACTGATTGCCCACATCAAGGGACAATCTACATTCTTTGGTCATGCCAGGAGAAGGAGAGAACTGGAGTACAACATGACAGTGTGAAAGCTGGAGGGAAGGAGAGGCAGAGGGAGAATGAAAGACAAGGTGCTGGACAGTCTAACATCATGGCATGGAGGCTGATCTGTGTCAGAAATGATTCAAAGTACATGAGACAGAAAGTTGTGAATAGACATGATTACCAACGCACACGACATGGACACTAAAAAGAAGTATGAATAAACCAAAAATATGTAGAGCAGCTGAAACATTTACCGACCATCTACAGACATTGTTTAACTGGTGCCTGAATAGAACAGGACTAATATAGTATGACAGGATCACTTTTGTAGAGAGAACCAGAATATATTCTAGTGAATCTTGTAGATGTATAAAACTACCACAATAAACATGCAGAAAAGTTGAAAGAAAGAGAGAGAGATAAACAAAGAAATTTAAAGGAACAAACAGAAAGAAAGAATGTATGAAAGACAAAAAGTACAAATAAGAGAACATCCTGTTGATGTCAACATTTATGTTTTCTTGTCTCCCCCCCCCCTTTGTGTGGGTGCAGCATCTGGTAGATATATAACTATCAAGAAAGACAGAATAGAAAATAAGAAAGGAAGAGTTTTAAAAAAACTCACCCTGTTGGGGCCAACATTGATGTTTCCCTGTCGCCCATCTCTGTACGGCGGCTGCATCTGGTAGACATTAACTGGCGCACCCTGAAGGCCAGGCCGATTGGCCAGTTGCTGTGCCAGCCTACGATTGGCTGCTGATACCTGATGCTCAGCGGCAATATTGGCTCGAATGTTTTGAATTGTTGGGGTAATGTTGGAGAACCTTAATGTTGGATACAAGTGATGGGTATGAGATCAGCACTATGCATACGATCAACATGAGGTGCCTGCCTCTCTTACACATGCCCAGATGTCTGGAGTACCTCCTTGTATGCTAAATACAATCTGTGCCATCTCCACAATGGAGGTTGGCTTCAGTGGGTATCTGTACCCAATGCTGCCTTTGAGACGATCACCTAAAGAGGTTTCAATCTCTTCCAGGGTGCGAGTCTCGTACCACTGCTCGCAAAACCATGACAACGGCCTTTTTTCTAAACCGCCCACCCACAGAGGGAATCGAGTACCCGGTACCCTGAGGCTTGGGAAACTTACTCAGTAACCTCTATGCCACAGAACTGCACTCCTTGTATGTACACACATCCACACTTTTTCAAACCAATCATGTAGCTTCTGCATTTATTTCTTCCCCAAACTTCTCTATTCCCTCTTGATTACTTAGATGAACTACTCCATTCTGATCCTTTATAATTCTTTGATATGAAATAATCATTTTGATTTTCCAAACTGAATAAATTTCAAGAATGCACCTCCAACATTTATGTGACCACACCGGGCACACCACGTGGCACGATGATCCTCATATCAGAGACACCATGCCAAATTTATACAACTTTATAAAATATGAAGAGTTGATAAACTTTGTGCAATTATCAATCACTTCTTTCTTTCCCATTTGCATTTCATATATTTAATTCCGCCTTTTACAAAAACCCACTGGGTTTCATATTTTTCAGTCTGGTCTCCAATATATATCCAAATGGATTTCATATTTTTTATTCTGATCTTTCAGTAGCCAGATGGCTTCATATAGTTCACTATGGTCTTTCATAAAGCCCAAATTTTTTTATCCAGAAGGATTTCATGAATTTTCATCCAACATATTCCATGTATTTCACCAAGGTCATTTATACATCCAATAATTTTCATACATTTCACCATGGCCTTTTTTTTTTTTTTTTACATCTGTTTCTTGGCCACCTAGACCACAGACACACAACACTGTTGTAGAGTTTCTCTGATGTTATATTTCCATTTTGATCTTGACCTACCTTGTGCTCTCCGTACCTGGCTATTATTTGCATGTACCCATCAAACAATAAACCATGTGTGGCTGTACTTATTTCATTTAGCCGAATCACACTAAAGAAATCTGCCAGCATGTTTTATAAAAGTGTACATGTCTGTCCCCTGTGATTCTGCTGTCTTTATTGTTCCTTTCAGGCATTTGCTATAAAAAATTATGATCAATTAAAGTGATTCTTATTTGTTTGCGAACCCACACAAGCAATTAACTAGATTCCCAAACACCTTTGTAGTGCCCAGTGCACTAGCTTGAAAATCAGAGTCAGACCAGTGCCCAGTGCACCAACTATTAGACATGAAACATAAGACTAGTGCCCAGTGCACCAACTATTAGACATGAAACATAAGACTAGTGCCCAGTGCACCAACTATTAGACATGAAACATAAGACTAGTGCCCAGTGCACCAACTATTAGACATGAAACATAAGACTAGTGCCCAGTGCATTAAGCATGAAATTAAGATCAGTACTCAGTTAGGATTGAAACTAAGACTAGTGAACAGTTTTAAAACTAAGAAAAGTGCTCAGTCACTAACTACTAGACTTAAAACTAAGCCCATCATGCAGTGCACTAATTACCAAACTAGAACAAGCAACTAAACCAACAATTATGACCAGTGCCCTCAATACTAGATTTTAAACTCTAACACTGGTCCAGTACACCAGCTACTAGACATAAAACCAAGACCAGTGTCCATTGCACCAGCTACTAGACATAAAACCAAGACCAGTGTCGAGTGCACCAACTATTAGATTTGAAATGAAGACCAGTGTCCAGTGCACCAACTATTGGACATGAAACCAAGACCAGTGTCCAGTGCACCAACTACTATACTTGAAACTAAGACCAGTGTCCAATGCACCAGCTACTAGACATAAAACCAAGACCAGTGTCCAGTGCACCAGCTACTAGACATAAAACCAAGACCAGTGTCGAGTGCACCAACTATTAGATTTGAAATGAAGACCAGTGTCCAGTGCACCAACTATTGGACATGAAACCAAGACCAGTGTCCAGTGCACCAACTACTATACTTGAAACTAAGACCAGTGTCCAATGCACCAACTATTAGATTTGAAATGAAGACCACTGTCTAGTGCACCAACTACTAGACTTGAAATGAAGACCAGTGTCCAGTGCACCAACTACTGTACATGAAACCAAGACAAGTGTCCAGTGCACCAACTACTAGACTTGAAATGAAGACCAGTGTCTAGTGCACCAACTACTAGACTTGAAATGAAGACCAGTGTCCAGTGCACCAACTACTGTACATGAAATTAAAACCAGTGTCCAGTGCACCAACTACTGGATATGAAACCAAGGCCAGTGTTGAGTGCACTAACTATTAGATTTGAAATGAAGACCAGTGTCCAGTGCACCAACTACTAGACTTGAAACTAAGACCAATGTCCAGTGCACCAGCTACTGGACATGAAACCAAGACCAGTGTCCAGTGCACCAGCTACTAGACATAAAACCAAGACCAGTGTCTAGTGCACCAACTACTAGACTTGAAATTAAGACCAGTGTCCAGTGCACCAGCTACTAGACATAAAACCAAGACCAGTGTCAAGTGCACCAACTATTAGATTTGAAATGAAGACCAGTGTCCAGTGCACCTACTAGACTTAAAACTAAGACCAGTGTCTAATGCACCAACTATTAGATTTTAAATGAAGACCAGTGTCCAGTGCACCAACTATTGGACATGAAACCAAGACCAGTGTCCAGTGCACCAACTACTATACTTGAAACTAAGACCAGTGTCCAGTGCACCAACTACTAGACTTGAAACTAAGACCAGTGTCCAATGCACCAACTATTAGATTTGAAATGAAGACCACTGTCTAGTGCACCAACTACTAGACTTGAAATGAAGACCAGTGTCCAGTGCACCAACTACTGTACATGAAACCAAGACAAGTGTCCAGTGCACCAACTACTAGACTTGAAATGAAGACCAGTGTCTAGTGCACCAACTACTAGACTTGAAATGAAGACCAGTGTCCAGTGCACCAACTACTGTACATGAAACCAAAACCAGTGTCCAGTGCACCAACTACTGGATATGAAACCAAGGCCAGTGTCGAGTGCACCAACTATTAGATTTGAAATGAAGACCAGTGTCCAGTGCACCAACTACTAGACTTGAAACTAAGACCAGTGTCCAATGCACCAACTATTAGATTTGAAATGAAGACCACTGTCTAGTGCACCAACTACTAGACTTGAAATGAAGACCAGTGTCCAGTGCACCAACTACTGTACATGAAACCAAGACAAGTGTCCAGTGCACCAACTACTAGACTTGAAATGAAGACCAGTGTCTAGTGCACCAACTACTAGACTTGAAATGAAGACCAGTGTCCAGTGCACCAACTACTGTACATGAAATTAAAACCAGTGTCCAGTGCACCAACTACTGGATATGAAACCAAGGCCAGTGTCGAGTGCACTAACTATTAGATTTGAAATGAAGACCAGTGTCCAGTGCACCAACTACTAGACTTGAAACTAAGACCAGTGTCCAGTGCACCAGCTACTGGACATGAAACCAAGACCAGCGTCCAGTGCACCAGCTACTAGACATAAAACCAAGACCAGTGTCGAGTGCACCAACTATTAGATTTGAAATGAAGACCAGTGTCCAGTGCACCTACTAGACTTAAAACTAAGACCAGTGTCTAATGCACCAACTATTAGATTTTAAATGACCAATGAACTATTGTGACATGAAACCAAGACCAGTGTCCAGTGCACCAACTACTAGACCTACTAGACTATTAGATTTGAAACTAAGACCAGTGTCTAATGCACCAACTATTAGACTTTAAATGAAGACCAGTGTCCAGTGCACCAACTACTGTACATGAAACCAAGACCAGTGTCCAGTGCACTAACTACCAACTTGAAATGAAGACCACTAGTGCACCAACTACTAGACTGAAAGACCAGTGTCCAGTGCACCAACTATGTAGAGTGTTGAAATGAAGACCACAGTGTCTAGTGCACCAACTACTAGACTTGAAATGAAGACCAGTGTCCAGTGCACCAACTACTGTACATGAAACCAAGACCAGTGTCCAGTGTCTACTGGACAGTGCACTAACTACTAGACTTGAAATGAAGACCAGTGTCTAGTGCACCAACTACTAGACTTGAAATGAAGACCAGTGTCCAGTGCACCTACTAGACAACTAAGACAGTGTCTAATGCACCAACTATGAAACCAAAACCAGTGTCCAGTGCACCAACTACTGGACATGAAACCAAGACCAGGCCAGTCCACCAACTACTATACGAAACTGCAGTGTCCAGTGCACCAACTACTAGATTTGAAATGTCCAATGACAACATTTGAAGACCACTGTCTAGTGCACCAACTACTAGACTTGAAACTAAGACCAGTGTCCAGTGCACCAACTACTGGACATGAAACCAAGACACCAAGCACCAACTACAGACTTGAAATGTCCAGTGTCTAGTGCACCAACTACTAGACTTGAAATGAAGACCAGTGTCCAGTGCACCAACTACTGTACAGAAACCAAAACAGTGTTGAAATGATAGAGGCCAGTGTCGAGTGCACCTACTAGACTTGAAATGAAACAGTGTAGTGCACCAACTACTAGACTTGAAACTAAGACCAGTGTCCAGTGCACCAGCTACTGGACATGAAACCAAGACCAGTGTCCAGTGTAGCAACTACTAGACTTGAAATGAAGACCAGTGTCCAGTGCACCAACTATTAGACTTGAAATGAAGACCAGTGTCCAGTGCACCTACTATTAGATTTTAAATGAAGACCAGTGTCCAGTGCACCAACTACTATACTTGAAACTAAGACCAGTGTCCAGTGCACCAACTACTAGACTTGAAACTAAGACCAGTGTCC